TGGATTTTACATGAAAAATTATGTAAGAATGGCCCAAGAGATTGATTGAAACAAAGATAGAAATTAATGTCAAAAAGTCAAAGAAAAGAGGGTTATAGAGTTATATTGATATCTAATAGTATTTTATGTGTTATGGTTGATAATATGACATATATTTATATATGGATTGATAGACATTGAGTAAGAAAACAAGAAGAAACACAAGGAGATCAAAGAGGTCAAAAATCTTGGATAAAAGAGGTAGCATAGAATTTACAATTTAATGTTAACTTGCTTGGTTATTACATGATATGATCCTTTGAATATATGCCACATGGTATTTGAAATTGTTTAATGGTAATGTGGTTGATTTGTTTCCATGATATGCCTTGACATAATGCATTAATTTATTGAGTTGGAATGATTTGATATGGTTTTTATATGGCAAAGAGGAAGAGAATTGTTTTATGAAATTCATTATAATATATCTTGCATGTTTAATATTATTATTGTAATCTCTTTGCTATTGAGATTTTTATGAAATCTCATTCTTCTCTTTGTTCAAATAACACCAATAGGGTAAGCAAGTAATGTGGATAAGAGCAAGGAAGTGTTGCCACCATGAAGAAGGATGTTATGAATATTACTAGAAATTATGTTGAACTTTGTGTACAAGTTTATAATATATATGGATGTGTATGGATAACTTTTAAGGTTTATAAATTATGTTAATGACTTATTATATGCTGTGAAATGAGACTAAATCATGTTGGAATGGCTGTGGCTTTATTTGAACAAGCATTGCTTGAAAAAAGATAAAAGTTGACTTTTTAAGGGCAAAATTGACCATGTGAAATTTTCAGCAAATGATGGAGTTTGGATATAAAACTTAACAGTCCAATAGATCATATTTTTAGCTTTAAAATGAGTGATATTTCATAAAATTTGGAGTTTTGTACAAAAGTTATGCATTTCCAAAGTTAGATATAAATTCTTAAAAATTGGAAAAATGACCAAGTGAACAATACATCTTAACGTGAAAACTAGGCATACATGAGCTGAATTTGTACTATGATTATATTTTTTCCTTAAAGAGCTCATTATAAGGTTCAAGGAGGACCTGGAACCATATCATTTTTATTTTTCTAGAATTAGTTATGATTATTTAAAATTTGAAAAAGATTAAGGATTTTCATGAATAGTAATCTAAGAAGAAAATTTTAAAAGTTCAAAATTTTCTAACTTAAGGACTTCAAAAATGGTTCCGGTTACTCCCACTTGATATAAAATTAGGTATTAAAGTAAGGTGTGACATGTTTAATTATTAACATAGGTTGGTTCTACATCGTAGGTAATGAGATGTGTAGGGAAAGGGCAACATATAATCATGTGCAAGAGGTAGAGGCATATAGATTTCATATGTTATATTCCTCCATGGGTAAGAGGCAAAGTAACTAACCTTATTTTATATTTACCTCATTCTCAATAGGCAATATTAACATTTATGTATTATTTTCAAATTATATAGATGAAGGAGATCCTACTTATAAGTGTGAATTATGCGGCACAATGATGTGATTCAATGAAAAGCTTGGGAATAATAAATCTACAACCACTCCTAAATTTTCAATGTGTTGCTTGAAGGGGAAAGTCCAACTTTCACTTATGATTATACCTCCTAAAATTTTGCATAATTTGTTCTTTGATAAGAAGTCTTCTACTTCAAAGAATTATCATTCCAAGATAAGGTCATTTAATATGTTTTCTTTCACTTCCATGGGTGGAAGGATTGATCATTCAAAGAATTCTGGAGGTGTGCCATATACATTCATTATATCTAGGATGAATCATCACAAAAATTGGTAGTTTATCAACACCACAAGGATCGAAGCCTTTACATTCACAGCTATATATCTATGACACTAAGAATGAAGTATCTAATCATATAGATGCTTCAAGGTTAGTTTTAAATATAGTTCTATTTATTTTTTTACTTTATGCATATTTATTTTATTGTTCATGTTTATACCAAGTTGTTTCAAAAACTATTCAAATTGCTAATGTGAGTTTGACATATGGTTTGGACAGTAAACATTTAAAGGACTGTACAATTAATCCAACAATAGTCGAGGAAATAAAGAAGGTGCTTGATGAGGTTAATCCATTTGTTAAGCAGTAACGTTTGGTTTCATCAATGATAAAATGTGGCCAACACTTGGAGCTTAAGTTATGCTTAATTAGTAATAGACATCAAGATTATTGTAATTATAACTTGCCATTGCATCTGAGGTGGCTACCCTTATTGTTGGTGATATTGATATAATTTTAGTAGAAGAGATGTCATAGTTCATAAGTTATTAGGCTCTCCTCAAAGGATTGATGAGTTACATGCATCATTATCTAATTTTGTTTCCTAAAGGTGAAGATGTTTATAGAGATGATATTCCACACCATGAAGAGACTCTTTCTACAACAAAGACGAAGATGATTAGTACGAGAGAATTTTTTGCATATAGATTAATATTAAGAGAGAATGAAATATCAACATTTTTACATACTGGAAAATTATTCTAACAATTCATAGTTGATAGTTACACAATTATTAAATCCCAGCGATTGCTATGGGATTGAACACACCAAAAAGAACTTAGAGTTGATTTGTATCAGGGTTTAACAAATACTTTATTAAGTGGTGAAAGAAATGCTTCATTAGTTAAGAAGCGTGTTATTTTGCTTTCTTTATTTACAGATGGTGCATGCTATGTCCTTGAAAATTATTAGGATGTAATGGCTCTTTGCAGATATTTTGGCTATCCAAGCATAGTCATAACCTTTACATGTAATCCAACTTGGCATGAGATTACAAGATTTTGTGATAGTGATTCATTATTATTATCAAATAGGCCATACATTCTCTCCAGCGTATTCCATATGAAGCTTAATGCTTTGATGTCACTGATTAAGAAGAAAAAAGCTTTTGGTAAAGTACATGCAGGTATGAGATTTTAAGATTAAGCATTTTTTGGGTTTTTAAAAATCAAATATTACATAATTTTTCTTCTTCAGATGTTTACACTATAGAGTTTCAAAAGCAAGGGTTACCATATGCACACATTTTGTTATTCCTTGATAGACAGGATCAATTGAAAGATGTAGGTGATGTAATTTTTGTTGAGATACCATATAGGCAATTAAATCCTGATTTGTATGAGTTGGTAAAGAAGTTTATGGTTCATGGCCCATGTGGTCGTTTAAATAAGAAGTCACCTTGCATGAAGGATGACAAGTGTAGCAAGTATTTCCCAAAGAAGTTTGTTGACATCACTACAATTGCTGATGATGGGTTTCCTACATATAGAAGGAGAGATGATAGAAGGACTGTAGAGATAAAAGGTATTTGATTAGATAATCATTTTGTTGTGCCATACAATCTTTTGATGTTGATAATGTTTCAATCTCATATCAATGTTGAGAAGTGTAACCATTCATCTGCTATTAAATACTTAAATATATTAGTAAGGGTAGCAATAGGGTGGTTGCTTCCATTTATGATAATAATCATGATGGAAATGGGAAAATGATTATTGATGAAATTCGTCAGCATTACAATTTTAGGTACATTTCAGCATGGGAAGCTGCATGGAAAATTTTTCTTTTGATATCCATCATAGATATCCTATTGTTGAAAGATTACGCTTCTATCTCCCTAATTAGCAATATGCGGTGTATTCCAATACCGATGATGTTTCTCAACATTATGTTTATCAAAGAAATAAATGAACTTAGAAATGAAGAGTAAAGGGATTTGCAATTGGCATAATTACTTATACTTCACCTTTATCAGGTGAACTTTATTGTCTACATATTTTTATTACAAAGGTTAGGAGTCCCATATCATTTGAAGATATTAGGACAGTAAATGGTGTTGTTTACCCAAGTTTCAAATCAACATGTCATGCTTAGAGATTACTTGATGATGTAATGAATGCACAAGTGGTATTAAAGAGGCATCATTATGGGCATCTAGTACAGCATTGAGGAAGATGTTTGTTAGTATGTTACTTTATTCTTCATTAAGTCGGCCTAATTATGTTTGGGAGGAGACTTCTAAAATTCTATCTGAGGATATGTTACATATACCACGTAATGATCTACTGCCATCAAGTAAGTTTTCATAAAACTTCATTATTTTGATTCTTAATGTAATTTGATATTACTACTTGTCTTTGTTATTTGTTTACATTTCTATCAAATGTGATTGTAGATTTATTTATTATATTTGCAATAGTAGTTATATCAGATAATGAGAAAAAAAATCAACTCTAAAAGCAATTAAGTTAATGAAATGGCAAGAGTCATAAAGACTTCCCTCCCCTTCCGTCTGTACCAGCATGTCCCAATATTAAAGTACAAAATCATATGGTGTTACAAGAATTAAATTATGATCATGTTGCTTTGCAAAGAGAGGTAGAGAAACTGACCAGTGCTTTAGATAAGGAACAAAAAAAATATTTGTGATATTGTGATGTCCTCATTTAACTCTTTTGTTGGTGCTTTCTTCTTTATATGGATATGGAGGTACAGGGAAGATATTTTTATGGAATGTATTGACATCAACACTTTGAACTCAAGGTGATATTGTTCTAACAGTAGTTTCAAGTGGGATTGTTGCAACATTTTTGTCCTCTGGAAGAACCGCTCACTTAAGATTTGCTATTCCTATTCAAGTGAATGAAGACTCTGTTTGCAACTTTAAGCAAAATTCTCCTTCGAGTAATTTAATCTAATCAACAAGATTGATAACATGGGAATAAGCTCTAATGGTTCAATGGTTCTGTACTAAAGCATTTGATCAGACGTGTAAGGATCTTATGTATTGTAATCATCCATTTGGTGGCAAATATGCTTTGATGGGTGGTGATTTTTGTCAAATTCTTCCTATAATTTCTAAAGGTACGAGAACATGGGTTAACTTGCCACACTTATGGGATCATTGCACTATATTTCAATTGACAAAGAACATGCGTCTATCATCATCTTCATCTGGTGTAAATTGTAGTCACTTGGAGAAATTCTCTCAATGCCTTTTAGATATTGGTGATGGTAATTTGGATTTGCCTCATGATGGAGTTGCAAAAATTGAGATACCTTCAGAATTATTAGTAAATGATTATGAGGATTTGATTAGTGCAATTGTGTCTTCCACATATTCAAATCTTATAGAAAATATAGATAGCAGTTCTTACTTTAATGATAGGGTTATATTAGCACCCATAATTGATGTTGTTAATCAAGTTAATGAGTATATGTGTTCACTGCTGCCAGGTGAACTTGTTGACTACTTCAGGTATGACTCAATTTGCAAATCATTATGGGATGATGATGGCATTGATGATCTATACACAACTGAATTTTTGAACACATTTAACAGTTCTGGGTTGCCTTCACACAAGTTGACATTAAAGGTTGGATCTCTAATCATGCTATTAAGAAACATTAATCAAGCATATGGATTGTGCAGTGGCACAAGGTTACGTGTTACTCATTTAGGCAAGTTTGTGATTGAAGCAATAACGTTGAGTAGATCACATTCTAACCAAAAGGTTGTAATTCACTGCACGGACATGGATCCATCTAATAGTTGGTTGTCCTTTATGATGTAAAGAAGACAGTTTTTAATATCTTTGTCATTTGCAATGACAATCAATAAAAGTCAAGAGCAATCATTACGTGTGGGCTTATACCTACCCAAGTCAGTGTTTAGTTATGGCCAACAATATGTTGCATTGTCTAGAGTTAAATTCATTGATGGTTTGAAGATTTTCTTGGTTGAAGTTGAGATTGGGAGAAAGAATACTACTACCAATGTTGTCTACAGTGAAGTTTTTCAGAATATTAACATTTCTGATTAATGTATATCATTTTTCTATTCTTTTTGTGGGTGCACGTGACATCACGAAGGACTTTGTTTTCACTTTTAATTATTATAATTTATGATTGAAGTTAATGCACGGGGGGCACACTAGTATATATGAATACAAAAATGCTTTTAAGAAAGCTAGTCCCATTCAGATCTGACAATACTTGAATCCAACTTAATTAAACAGCCACAGTGCCCCACACACACATATATAATAATAATAAGAATAAGAGGCCGAGCAGTATCCTATAGACTTTTGATTTGAGCCTATTTCTGGCTGCGTGAATCTTGTTAAAAGTTTCTTGGCTTCCTTCAAATAAATGGCCATTAATTAATATGCTGCAGTTTTCCTCATCTAAATTTTACTTAGTTAGTTTGGTCAAGCGGTCCACCTTCAATTCAAGAAGGTTGAAACAATTTGGGAAAGCATTGAATTCTAATACTATTATTGATGTAAGCATTTTATTTAATATGTAATTTGTGAGAAAATAATTAATGAAAAATAAATATTAAAAACAATAAAAAGGGCATCAAATTAAATTTTGTAACAGTTAATTATATCATCTATATTTTTCAAATTTTATTAAAATTATAACAATTTGTATTTATTTTAAAATATAGAAAATTTTTAAACATTGTATTATATAAATTTTTTGTATTTCAAAAATAAAAGTAATATTTGCATGGTGGATCATCCTAACAAAATTTTATAAATCTATATAATTAAATATTTAATTGAAGAAAATTTTTATATTTTTACAAAATAAAGTATATTCCAAAGGACAATACTTATCTCAATAATTTCTTACAACTATTATGTCAAATTCTTTAATCACACATAGTCATGTATTCTATTTTTGAAATATTAATATTTAACATCATTTAATTATAAAACCACATGTAAAAAAACACGACCATATATGATTGGAGAAATTGACATAATAAATATAAATAATTTTACCTAAGTATTTTCCTATGCTAAATTAATATATCAATACTCATGTAGTACCAGTACAAGTCACCCTTTTCATAAATCACAAGTAATAAATAATATAACTTATTTTAGAATTTATTATATGATTGTACATATAAAAAATACTTGTATCTAATTGAAAAAAACCCCCGAAAAACATCTAATACTTGAGCATTAAACATGGTTGGAATTAATAGCTCAGATATGAGACGACTTTTTATCGAAGCACGTTTGCATCATTTTCCTTCCTCGGCAAATTTGGAAGTTAATTAGTCTAAGAAAATTAATTCACGCTTCCATTCTAATTTAAGCCCCTTTGTTTTTATTTACAATCGGACCAATTACCAAACTAAGTTTAACTATGAAGGTTTTAAAAAAAAACAAGAAGAAGAAATAATTATAATACTCCTCCAGGCCCGTTCTTAATGTAATGGCCAATTAGGTTATTAGATTTAGTCTTAAATATAATATTTTAATCTACTTTGTATAATCCCATAATATAAACCCTGTTGCTCACTATTTACCACTTTCACTTTGCTATTTATCACTTGCTTTGGAAATTCAAAAAAAAAGAAAAAGAAAAATACATTTGGTGACTATTTACTATATTTAGTTTGCTATTTATATATTTTGATTTTATTATTTATTACTCTTATTTTTCGAATTCGAAAAATGTATTAAGAACTTTACCCGGGGCCAACAGGGATAATTAGAGCCCCGGTGGCCATTTACCAATAAGCGGTGCTTAGGAGGCACTTAAAAGAAAGAGTGAGAGGTGGTGGTGTCTTTTACACGACGTTTCAAAATTCCAAATCAATCAAGCTGACTAATGTGAAATTATTGAAATTTGAATTTCTGATTTGAAAGTTTGATATTTTAAAGGTAAGCCCCTATGTTTCTTCATTTTGCAACGGGACCACTTAACACTTATAACCAAACCAAGTTTTATTGTCAATGAAAAATGGAGTTATAGTAATTAATTAAGTCAATATCATTTTCTACGGCATATCGTTGCTCCACGTCATATAAACTAATTAAGCACCATTAGTGCCTAACAAGCTACACGTACAAGTGTCATTGGAAGGCTTAGCAGAACAAGGGACCATACGCACCCCATGAGCCTTCTTGCATGAACCCTGCTAAAGACACACACACACACACACACACACACACACTAACTAATATGATAGGTAAATTACGTGGGATACGTGTAGAGTGTGCATAGAGAGGCTTATAAATAGAGAGTTAGGAAGAGCAAAAAAGGACACATGAGAAGCCAGCATATTGGATCAATTGACGTCAATTTTGAGGGGAGAGGTATATGTTATGGACTATTACCTTCATAATGTGCTCCTAGTCCTGTTTGCTTTGGCGTTGCTTCCTACAACTTCACTGGCTTGACAAGGAAGCGGCGGAGGTTGTGGCGGGATGCACGGCAGCCGAAAGTTCCGTGCCGGGCCACCCAATGGGAACGCGAGTGCTCAGTTGGTATGTGTTAACAACACTAAGGAAGGATCATCACATTGGAAGATGAATGCCAACGTTAGTGATAATGTTGTCCATGTCCTTCAAAGTATATTAAGAATGGAAACAATTGCCGTTACAATAATATGGTGGCAGTTATTATATTTAGTAACATTGAGAATACTAATTATTATGAATAAGTGGATTGTCCGTGTATTGTGTCAAAGCATGCCCATGCCGCCTTACCAGTGTTGCAAAAGAATGCCTATGTTTTAAAATATCCTCGTTGCTATTCTCTCCTGGCCTCATGCTACTTTCTGTGATATCCTTTCATGTATTGTAATGCTTCTTTCCATTGTGACATTATGAAGCCATGACATTAAATCTGAATCGTTTAAATTAGATCTAGATAATTAAGATCTGATGAGTTTAGAGTGTTCATCAAGATGATGAGTATTGAAACTGGTTCTGTGATGCCACTAGGTTTTCTCTCTTCTTTTGCAAACACGTTAAGAGTAGCTATACAGTTGACAGAAATCAGAGTTTTGCTTTATTTTAGAAGGTTTATGTGTACTTTTGGATTTAAGTAGACTCTATGATCTAGATGAAGATGGGGGAATACTTCATGGGTAATTTTGAACTTTAATTCTTTTTTAAACATGTACCAAATATAATTACTGATAATGAAACCGGTGCCATGCACAGCGTTCACACTCCAAGCGGCCATGTCCACAATTAAGTGACATATTAGGGGCACCATTTTGATAAATCAATCATGTATTGGAAAGATAGAAAAGAAAAGAACGGGAAATGAGGCGGCTAGAGAAGGGGCAGCTCCGGGACCCAGGAAGCACCGCCATTGCATCATGGAGAAGGTCCCATAGTAGCGAATGGGATCGCTAAAACCGAAAATACTATGCAACACATATGGAGAGTATTCGCTAAACAATTAACATTAGTTGACTAAATAGTTGTGACAATTTTACATCATTTTGGAACATTTTCGTGTACTTCTACAGCATTTTTTTTGACTTAACATATTTGTTAAACAATCAATATAATGTTGGTTGACTTAACAGCTATAACATTTTTGCTTCATGATGAAACCTTCGTATATATTTTTGCACCAAAAAAATTTTCATGATATCAAATATGCATGACAGAATACTTCATAATAAGTAGATATATACACCTTAACCCCTATTACTTATCTCTCCATGGAAAATGTTATGCCCAACTAATAACTATCTCAATTAATTTTAGCCGCTGAGTCATAACTCGAAGACATCGCAATAATTATCCAAGTCTATCTCTGTCATAGATTAATTATATATTTCCTTTTCTACACCTAGAATTAGATTTCAGCTATCAATATCGGGGATCATCGGCTATCCTTTAGATCATGGCCAAATTTTTATAGACTTTTAATTCCTTTACATGTGCTGTATAATCTAATTTGCCTAACATTTTCATCTATTTACTTATTTATTTCTCTATAAAGCTTATGCTTAATTTTCAATAATCCCTCCAATCCCCTATACAAGCTACATTCTCTGAGATAGGAATGAGAATACATATAAGTTACCCTTTTTGTCTAAAATTTTAATCTACTCAATTTTTCTATTTTTATCCCTGTTAGATATATGATTGTACATTAATTAGCACACATCTTTTCAATTTTTTTCCCACCCATTCTCCCTCACTTACTCCCTCCAAATATAATAGTAAGGCTAAGATGCATCCATCACTCTAAAATATGTAATTAAGTACGTCCAGCATTTTAAAGTATTTTACACTGTGTCTAAATCTTGAAGTATTTTTTCAAATACATCAACACTCCAAAGCATTTTCTAGTTTATGTAGCACTCTAAAATATTTAAAAATTTCTAGTATCCTAAAATATTTTTTCAAATACATCCAATATCATAAATTATTTTATTATTCATCCAACACCTTAAAGTATTTTTTCAAGATGCGTCTAACACCCTTAAAAATACTGAAAAAAATATTTTATGATACTTGATATACATTAATTAAATGGACCTTTTGAGGAGTAGTTAGTGACCAAGTTAAAATTGCTTATAAAATAATACCTTAAAAGCACAATTGTTTCTAAACAACTTAATACTTCAAAAACAAAATTACACTACAAAATATTTTAGGGTACCGGATGCACCTAACAAAATATTTTAGGGTGCTATTACATCTCTTACACATTTATTACTTTTAACTAAGTTTAGCTAATATTTTAATCAAAGTAATTTGATTAGTTGTAATTTATATACAAGAACAGTGCGGGAGGGAGGATAGCACGGTGCTTGCATGCCTTGTGGTGTGCTTTATGGCACAAATCATTTAATTCAATTGAAGTGATAATAGTTAAAAAAAGGGTCCGAAAGAAGTTTCTTTCAGGGGAGGAAGAGAGGCAAACTACTTCCCAAATGGAGATTTTTTATTTCAATGAAAGCAGAGGAAGGCGGGCTTCTTGGCTTTGGTCTAGCATTGTAAAAGGGAGGGAAGTGCTAAAAGGGAATTTATGCGGAAAGCATTAATTTGAGATGAAAGAAACTATTGTGCACGGCAAGATCCGTGGATTCCTGATCCACGTAGACAGTTGATTCAACAGTATTGGGATGCAAAAGGTTGGTTGCTTACTCGAATGAAGTTTCTTTTGGATGGGAAAAAAAGAAAGAAAAAACAGCATAAGCATTGAAAATGAACAAATTATTGAGCCACTTGAAGTCAGAAGTATATGCATATATAGTCTGTTGTGGCATCTCTGACAATACTAATAGCATGCTGCTCAAAAACTGGAAAGATTGAGCTTTACCTGGTCCCATATCAGAAATGGATAACACCTACCTGTCATATAAAAACAATATATCCCCAAACACATAAAACCCACAAACCCCTGCATAGATCACCAATAAAAATTTGGAACCAAAAGGCCCCAACAAAAGGGCATGACAGAAAAGTCAAGGTTTTCAGTTGCACTTGCAGCTGCAGTGAGAAAATCCTGCCCAGTAAGGACAAACATGACATCTTGTTTCTTTTTCTTCATTACTTTAAGGAGGGATTTACAGCAATAGACATGCAAGTGTCTATTCTCTTAAAATGTTTGTCTTCATGAAGGACATAGACATATAAACAACCCAAAAGAACAAAGCTTACAGACAAGGAAGGATGTGATTTAAACTATGAGTGTTCGAAAGACTTTCATATGAAGATGTAACTACCTGGATGCTACTTGGCTGAGACTGAACATGCGCCACTGTTGAATTTCCTATGTACATGGCCTTGTTAGGTGGGAAAACGAGAGGTTTACTCAATGTAAAATTATGGACATGGGCAAAACAATGTTCAAGAGCATTGGACATTTCACTAAGAGAAAAGCAGATGCGAATTCCTACACATGTTCATGAAGCCATACTCCTCCTTTTATTATTCATCCTGTTCATGACTCGGGACGCATCATTTAGTTTATTTGCTCTTTCATAAATGCTGGCAACAACAAGATGCAATTCCTTCTTGTTGATATTGGGATTGGAATCCAGCTTCTCAAACAGTGACTCTACGTTCATAAAATCTCTTCTTGCCCCATACAGACTAAGCATCTGGAAGTGCACTTCATCTGGAAAAACACAACCTTCATCTTGCATCTGTACATATAAAACATCTGCTTTCTCAAATTCACGCAGCTTTCCAAAAGCATTCAGCACAAGAGCAATAACATTTGAATCAGGAAAGTATCCCTTCTCTCTCATCTTCTCAAACACTTCGATGACATTTGTATACTTCTTGTTCCTTGAGAAAAGATTAATCATTAAACCAAATACAGATATATCTTTTATTTCTCCAGCATCAAAAGCCTGGCGAAAAACCCATGTAGCCTCTTCAATTCTACCAGCTCTAGCAAGAATCATGATTGCGGTCTCTCTTGGAATATTGTCTGTTTGTCTGAGCTCAAGAAGCAGACGCTTAGCATGAGCAACTAAGCCTATCCTTTCGTAAGCTACAATCATTGTTTGGTAGAGAATCTGGTCAATCTCAACCCCTGAACTCCTTAATTTTTGAAACAACATCGCTGCCCTGTCCAATTTCCCTGCCTTACCCCAGATAGATATTATTGTTGAATAAGTAATAGCATTTGGTTCAATACCTCTACTCTGCATTTCTTGGATAAGATTTGTTGCCTTCTCATGCTCAAGAGACTTCCCATAAATCTTAATCATAGTATTGTAGGTGACAACATTCTGTTCAACACCCTTCCTTTGCATCAAACGAAACAGATGGATGGCTTCTCCAAATAACTCTGCCTCTCCATAGACCCTTAAAAGAGTATTGTAGCTAACCACATTGGGCTCAATCCCCATTTTCCTCATGCTCCAAAACAGCCTATCAGCTTCTTTCACCATGTCAAGCTGGCCATAAACATCAATCATGACATTGCACGTTGTAAGATCAAGGGGGCATTTTACCTCATTCATCTCTGAGAAAATAGAAAGTGCTTCCACGAACTTTTGATTTTCCACATAGATAGTGAGAAGCGTTGAGTAGCTTACTGTATCAGGGCGAACCCCAGCTTCCCCCATCTCTTTTAGGAGAAGACGAGCTTCTTGGAAGAGCTTAGCTTTCCCAAACACATTGATCATTGAGTTATAGGCAACAATGTCTGGAGTAATACCAGACCTTTTTAATCTCGTGAAGATAGATATCGCCTTGGAATAGTCACATAACTTACGTGAGAGCTCAATCAAATTACTATACAAGACAAGGTCACCAGAAACTTTGCCTTGCTCCATCTGCTGGAGCCAAAACAAAGCTGAATCAAACATACCTTCTTTCCCAAAACAAGTTATAAGTGTAGAATAAGTGTACCTGTCAGGGGCCAGCCCTTTCTGACGCATCTCATTAAACAAGCCATGTGCAAGCCCCCACTGCTTTGCTCGAAGCACATTACGCAGCACAACATTGTAAGCAAACACAGAAGGAGTGTAAAGAGCCTTCTCATTAATCCAATCCAAAATAGCAAGCGAGCGTTGCCAATCAGGCTCCCGTGAGAGGAGAGAAACCATAAACCGAATTGAAAGTTGCCTCCCATTATAAGGTGACAATAAAGAATAGAGTTCTTGCTCATTTTCAGTCTGCCCAATGGATGCCAGCAGCTCATCCATGTCCACGCTATGGTCCAAATAAGCAGGTTCCGGGTTTCTAGTGCGATATGGTTTGCCAGATGAGGAGGAAGAAGAAGAAGGTGATGATCTCTTCCAGACATCTCTGGCTATCAAAGAAGCTGCTGCTACAGCTACATTTGCAAGCCTCTGTGCTTTGTGTCTTTTTCTCTGATTTCTCTTGGACAATAAAGTAGAAGCATCGCAATTATTTGTGGATTTGAAAATTGAAGAGCATATAGAAGATGGGCAAAAACCCAGAATGAATGAAGTGTCAGAGAATGAGAGTGTGCACATAACTTGAAGGATTTATTACAAACAAAAGGAGTTGTGGTTATTGATAAGTAAATTCCTTTCCTATCTGCTGGTCCCTCTGCACTGCATCTGCAATGAAGGAGAATCTATTACTAGCTCAAATAGTTTGATTCTATTGCATATATACAAGAGAAGTAAAGTGAGCATGAAATTCTCCAATTGAAACAAACCCAACTAAAAGAATTAAAAAAAAAAAAAATGCACATAACAATAATAGAGACAATGCCATATCATACTTGACTTCCCATGCAAGCATCCAGCCTTTCAACTCCAGATTTGACTTTACTTTTTTCTAGAACTGAGTCATAACCCAAAGATGTACTAGTGTATTTGACTTGAACCTCAGCATACCATATGAACAGCATCCTAATGAAACTAAAGCAGGATATACTGCCAATGTCACTAAAGTGAGGGATAATGGTCCATTTGGTACACTTTCTTCGGTAAAAGAAAAAAGATGTGATGGAAAGTATTCATTGTATTTGGTAATTATCAAGATGAATTTTTCGTAGAGATAGATTCCCATATTTATAGGAGAGAACTTTCCCATTCTCATTCCCTTAACCATTTCCAATTTGCATACAGCCACCATACATATTCGGTCAATCATAGAATAACAGGGAAAGCAGAAAGCTGCATTTATAGATATCTGGCTACAAAATTTTTACTTCAACCTCTCTTTTAAGCATTCCCTCGAACACTTGCAGGGCAACCTTGAGGGAATGCACAAGGTGCGATATTTTCGCTCTTTACCCATGCAAACCAATTGCAAGATTTCTAGCACTAGTAGTATGACACATAAATCAGCACACAAGTGTCAAGTTTAAAGTAGTTCTGGTCACAAGCAGAAGATTATAAAGTTTTCCGTAACAATGGAAACCAAAACCATATACACAAATGTACAGGTCGAGAACGAAAAACTCTTAGGTAATTGTGAACGGAAAAGAACACTCGGAGCCTACCAGAAACAGAACTACCAGTGGGAATGGCTTTTGAAGAAACAGACGAGGCCGCTCCATGGATTTCCTTCCTACTCCTTCCTTCTGCTCAACCTCTTTCTCTCTCTCTCAAATGCTTCCCCTCAGTCCCGCCTTCCTCCTTCAATCTCCTCCCAATCGATCCTCTATTCGGTTTTGGCTCCTATATATATAAGCACGCTCTGAGAACAAAAGAAAATCACAGGTGGTACACGAAAATCTTCTGAAAAATCACAAAAATATCTTCCTGTCTCTTCCTGATCAACAAATTTCAACCAAAAAAAATATTTAAATAAAATATTTTTGAGTAAAGTTAAATTATTTTCAACTTCGGCTCAGAATGATATAATTTCTTATTGAAATTTTAATAAAAAAATAACACTCTTTAGTAAAATTAAGCTTTTTCCCCCTTAAGAACAGTGTTATAAATATGTATATTAAGATTTTCATTCTGATTCTAAACTTTAAATTATTTTGGATATTGTATGACAATACATAATTATTGAACTGTGAAATTTCTTTTCTCTTTTCATAGTACTCTTCTGCTTCTTAATATAAGACTTATTTAACTAATTTGATTAGATTAATGTGACATGTTTTTCTTAAAATACCATAATCATCTTTCTTAATACCCCATCTTCCTCTTCTACGTGATTATGGTTGAGGGAATATCCATAGAGGTAATTTAGAGAAAATTGATAAATATAAGAAATGGGTCTTATATTTAAGACCAAAACCAACTTAACAATTAGGCCCTATATTAAGGATCAGAGGAGTATAATTTTTCCCAATTACTTTTCAAATTGTAATCTTTACCTTTAGTAGATGCCCAATTTGCAAGAAAATAAAATGCAAGGAAAATTTATCAAATTAGAATATTTTTTATATGTCATGATTTCTCTTATGATCTGTAAAATATATATATATATATATATATATATAGATATATGGACTTGAGTATTTTTATCCATACATCTAAGTAGCGATTAATAACCTTTTTGGTTATTTGAATATTTCCCTATGTTGTACTTTATAGTACTTTTTATCATTAAGATATGATTAGATTCATAATTTTAAAAAAAAAGAGCTAATGTATAAATTTATGTCACAAGTTTTTACTAATAAACAATGTTCCAAAAAATTTTTGGGTTTAAAGTTGTTTGGAAGTATTAAAATAGAACAATATTACTTTTATCATTAAAAATTAATCAACATTAAATTTTTTAATGGTCAACGTTAAGTTTTTAACGGGATGTGGTAACATTGCAGCATTTTGAACTTTCAAAGCTACATTGAGTCCAAACAAACTTTTGAGGTAACATTGCTCATGAACAAAAACTTTCAAACCAAATGAGTTTTGCTTTTAATCTATGTACTTTTAATGAGTTTTGCTTTTAGTCCATATACTTAACTCAAACCAAGTATTTACAAAACTATAAATATCAAAAACTAGGATTTAAAATTATAAAAACCAAAATTAAAATTCGATCAAACTGTATAAGTACAAACAATAATGCTGAAGAAAAGTAAATTAATTTGGACCAGCTAGCTTGTTGTGTACAGACATGGATGGAGATATTTCTCCTCATTTTTTGAAAACTTTCTCCCATAAATATTTTTGGAGTTAACAATAACAATGACAAACATGTAATTTGCTTCGAATCTTGCATTCGCCTCCTCTGCAGCTCTTTTGGCATCTTTTGTTGCAAACAGTGTCTTTGCAATACGGATAATGATAGTCCCAACAACATTTCTCTCCCTTCACCTCCACGTAACAACCTGCAGCAATTATCATTATTATTCACTCAAAAACCAAAATTCATAATTAAAAAATGTCTCCAGACATATTTAAACAAGATAAAACATATGACTCCTTATCCATAAATAAATACCGCTTGTATTAATATAAAAGGTGGTTTGATTTTTAATTTGATCCTAAACATAAGACCTTAATCCACTTAGTCTTCAATACTCCTCCGATCCTTAATATAAAAGCTAGTTGACTAATTTGAGTAAATTAAGAAAACTAATTAAGTTAATTATTTGTAATAAATAAGTATTTTCTTTCCTCAAATATCCTTAATAATCAAATGTATTAGCTAGAACTATCATTATTACAAAAACTACATTGAAAAATAGATAAATATGAGAGATAAAATATATTAAGGTCTTATATTTAAGACCAAAATAAAAGTAAAATGAGCTTTTATATTAAGGACTGGAGGTAATATTTATTTATTTTTTCTCAAGTAATTCTTATAACAGTTGAATATGTAAAGGAATTAGCATCAATAGATAATTCAAACATACATGACTAATAAGGGTATTTTAGGGAAGACATTTATTTACTACAAATAAATAACTTAATTAGCTTTCTTAATCTTTTCAAATTAGTTAATTAGGTCCTATATTAAGTATCAGAAATAGTAATAAAGATGTAGAGAGGAAGCACCAAAACTTATAACGTATATTAAAATTCATGTAAGAAATTTTTTGAGACAAAAAATCAGACATCTTACTAAATTGGTTGAGATATTGGTTTAAGAGTCAATGATCAAATCATGGTTGAATTGAGGTCAACGTATTCAATCATAATTAAAATAAATTTTTTGAAATACGCTAAAAATCGAATCAATTGTTGAAGTGGTTAATAGTCTTAAAAGTATTTCTCTTGCTCCCTTCACTTTTATATTAGGAAGAATTATAATGAGGTCTCAAATAAGGAAAACAATTAAAAAAACAAGTCCTAAAAGTTGTCATTATCACTATAGGATTTGTCATTATAGGCTGTTGAGGTTGTTATTGGGACTTTTTTATAATTATTTTTCTTCTGTGAGACTTGATTGTAATTCTCCCTTTATATTATATCATATTTACTCAACCACATAAAAATTCATAACAAAAGTCTCCCAACACATCTAAACAAGAGATATAACACCTCCACTCCTTATACATACGAAATATTTATGCTACAAAGGAGGCCTGATACAATAATGAAGTCACCCTCATAGCACACAAGCAATATCATCGATGAAAAACTCCATTTAATAATATATGTGATCAATATGAATAGTCTAAAAAAATTATATATAGTTAAGAAGATAAAAAATATGTAAACTGCTCAACTAATTTCTACGTTTAGAATCCGCAGGAGAGCAATAACTTTTTTCTGGAAAAAAAAGTAAATAAAAAGTCCTTGAGAAACATACATAAAATGAAAAAGAAAAGTAAACCTGCTTGGAACATGATCAAAATGATCAACAGAGAGACAAAAACTCTTTCTTTAGTCATAAATCTTCGAATCGAACAAGAGAATGCTAGGAACGTACAAACTTGTGTTGATGTTTCTTGGCAGGAAGTAGGATATGTTGTTTGTGTATATGTGCGCGCGCGCACACATTCACCGACCCGGACGCAGACTTAAGCTACATTGTCTTTAATTTACTGGCATATCTGGATAAATCTTCAGGATATTTCAATTCTGTTTACTTAAAATTATAGACTTTCCTTTTCTGCTCCTGAAAAGAGTTGGTTTTATTAATGGTTCAAGATAACCATATCAGTAAAAATTAAATACAGAATATTTTTCATATAATTAATTGACCAATGTCATTTTAAATTTTTTTCCTTAAATATTTTATTAATGCCGAAGTCAAATATGACTATGGTAATAATTTTTTTTTCAAAAAAGAAAAAAAAAACCCACGTCTCATGAGGATTCCATATTATTTTTCAGTTATTATGTTTTCTTGTATAAATTACTGTCATAATATGCAAATCTCGTTGTGTTCAATTCAAAATCTTTATATATGATATAGTAGCTCGGCTTAATCGATTTTCCTTCAAAAACTTACCATGATACTTTTTTGGGAAAATTAATTCATCACCCGTTATAGTTTGACTTGATTTTTAAATAGCACCTATAGCTCCCCCCCCCCTTTTTATTGTTGCTTACAGTATCTTCAATTATATAACCATTAGATTTAGTCCCCATGCTCATATCTATTTAATCAGGGCTGATATGAATTCCAACCAATCGCCACAAAATTAAAAATATTAAAAAAAAAAAGAGGTTCTTAAAAATAAAATGATGGAATAAAATTGATCTATCATCAACATAAAAATAAAAAGTTATGGTGCTCTCTCCATACATTTATATAATACGTAACTTGATTAATTTTGATTTTATATTTATGTTGCAAAATTAATTCAAATGTATGTTGAGTGAGAGCCATGTCATCAGCTATTAACATCATCTCTTTTAAAAATTGAGGAAACTACAAAGATCTAATAAAAGGTAAAAAAGATTACAAGGACTCAATTGAAAATGAGTTGAAATCATGAAGGACTTCCATATTAATTTTTTTTTATATTTTTTACCAATTCAGATAGAAAAACAGTAAAATATTGTGTGAATGTTCAAGAGTGATCAGAAAGGTGTACCTTGCCATTACGTTATATAACAAACCCCAATATGGGTGAAAGGATGTTAATATCAAGACCTTGCAAGTGTACAAAGGATAAAATATAATGATAATAATATCTACAATTTAACTATATTTTCTAACATTCCCCCTCAAATGCTCGAGTTTGTCTCTAAGATGGAGGAACTTAGTGAAAAGACCCACAATTATACCATAATTATAAATCTTTTATAATAAGTTAAATTTATAATAAGTTAATCATGGTAAAAAAAAGAATCAGACTGGAATATTAAGCACTACCATGATTATAAAAAGTTTAACTTATTTCAAAAGCCTCACAAATTCACACAATAACAGTCAAAGCTTAAGGCGCAAGTACCACCCATCAACCCATCACCAATAAATGTAATCACAAAACTTTCAACAATCCAAAAGTATGAAGGATAAAAGTAGTGGCTAAGCCCAGTCTACAAGTCTCATACTTGCTTAAATCCAAACTGTCTTGACATCATAACAACCATCAATAAGATAAAAAATTTTCCTAAAAAGGTGATAAATGTGGATCCATAAGGTTCATACATAAGAAATCATATGGCCTCTAGCCATTAAATAAATATCTATCAAATAAAGTAGTCCAAAAATATGAAGGAGATAGAGTTAGATACGCAAATACAAAATATGGTCCCTAGCATGGCAAGATACACAATCCTCACAAGCTCAAGTCATAAGAGAGCTACTAGGCTGTGCAT